CAATCCTGCTGTTTTGAGTGCTACTTTTTACACCGGGAATTTATTATTATTATTATTCAAATGTAACGTTACTGGTTAATCATAAACTTTAATTTTGTTTTGCCTGGTCAAAAATGATATTCTAGTAAACACTGGACAGATTCAAAAACATTTTAGACAATTCTAAACTAGGCTTTTTATGCGTTTTCTTAGTAGTTACATTTGTTTCTGCAACCCGTCCGTTTCAAAGTTATACAAATTGTTGTAGCGTTCTTTATCCTTTATTCTTGATTTCACTTGACTGAAACTTCCCTTGTGATTTTAATCACTTCTAGTAACGGAAATCTACCTTAGACGACTCGATCTCTTAAGCAATAGTAATTATTTCTCTTATTGAATGATTATAAAAATGCAACAAGTTATGTTAAAACGCTTCAATGTTTTCCTATCGTCTTCTATGGCTTGATAAGCTTCAATCAATTTCTTCTGTCAGGTACTCAAAGTCAAATTTGATTTTCATAATATAAAAAAAAATACGAATGAATGTTTACATTGTAAAATTTATTTATGAAGAGCATCTAAAGCGACATGCAAGGTGTAGTGGAATTAATTCATTTTAGCTGTTCTTAAGAACAGATTTACAAATACTTTTAGAACACTTAGGATTGTGGGTAAAAAAATATTGATATTAATTCTCTCTTATTATTCTGCATTAAATTATTTTTATATTAGAAACATTACGAAAACTGCAGGATTTTCTAGCAAGGCAATGAAATAAAGCGAAAAGAAAAAACTAACAATCAATTGTAAGAATACACATTATATGGCTGGAAGCAAAAGGAACAGAAAAATGGAAGCTACGAATTGAATATATCAAATTCAAGAAAGTTCAAAAGTTTATATATATATATATATATGTGTGTGTGTGTGTGTGTAGAGTAGTGTTTTAACAGATGACAGTAATTGTGACACCGAAATCCGGAGTCACATTAGAATAAAAAATACTGCCTTCAAAAGCTAAACAAAGTGTTTAGGGACAGCAAGATTTCATGAGAAACAAAGAAAGAATGCCGAAGGAGTATATGTCAGATCACTGCAAAAGTTCATCCCCGATTTTCATCATTAATATAAAATGCCCGCAGCTTGACATTAGTGTTTGTTTGGGTGCCGATTTCTGGTGACTTCTAGATTGAAATCTTTCATTGTTCAGTTGAAAGTCAAACTTTGTTGAATATTCAAGTTTTGTCCACAAATGAATGTCTTCAGGATGGAGGATGAAAAGTTGCACTTTCGCTCTACGAATTTCGGAAAACAGAAAGCGTCGGAACGACGACAAACGATTCAGAATATTTACTTGGATCGTGCTCCAGCTCTTCAGACGGTCAAAAAGTGTTTTGGCAGATTTCGTCTGGGTGATTTTAACATAAACAATCAACCACACTCTGGGCGACCATCCGAAATTGATGAAGACGCTCTGCTTATCATCGTGGATAATAAAATATTTCGACGGGATAAATTAGTAAGAGTTAGAAAACTGATATCTCAACTGCATTTCGCCTTTTGAAGAGACTTGCATCCAAGAATAATGGCCGATTTTGGCAAATCGAATAGGTGTCATTTTCCACCACAACTACGCAAAACCGTGTGTTACAAAACACATTGGAGAAGCTTAAAGAATCAAAATAGGAACCGCCCCCCGCTTCTCCAGCACCTCATCGTATTCTCTTGACTTGCTTCTTTGGATTTCCATATGTTCCTGTCTCTATATTTAAATTAAAACACATTTGACTCTGTACAATCAGTCGAAAAACTAATTGACAACCTTCTTCAAAGAACAAACGAAGTTTCTACAAAAATTGCAACAACAAACTTGTAGAACCATGGGAGACAGTTGTCAAAAACAATGGAATCTATGTACTTGACTAATAAATGTTCTTGAATATCAAATGTTATTTTAAATTTATAATCTGTCACAAACTTTGCCGATGATCTAATAATATTAGTCTTCCTATATGGCAAGGAATGCTGGAAAAATTGCCATTAATGAAAAGGAGATTTGAGGCAACAGTGATGTTTTTTCTTTTACAGAAGGACGCTAAGAATACCATGGACTGACCATGAGAAAGTTTTAAGGAAAATAGAAAAAAAAAAGAATATTTATACTTAGAATCAGAAAGAGAGGTTAAATTCCTAGGAGCATAATGAGGAAAGAAGGTTTGGGAAATTTGACACTCGTATGAAATATTGAAGTTAAGTGGGGCAGAGAATAAACAGCGAGTAATCTACCTCACGTGCCTGTGCAAATGCTTATCAAGACATGACTAGGAAGGATAGTAAAGAGACAAATATTGGTAAGAGCCACAAAGGATAAGTGAAGAGCCATGATCCCCCACGCCCTGAAGGAACCTGGCACTTAGACTTAAAGACAAAATGAGTCGATAAATCTCATGAAATCAAATTCGAAATGATTAACCATTAAATAACTGCACTAACAACAAAAAAAGCGTACTGAACTATTATGCAAAATCTTTCCTCCTCTATGGTTGTGAATGTTAGACGGTCTCCTTATAGAGGAAGAAAAGTCTTATGGCAAGAGAAAGTTAAATCTATAGAAGAATGTTAAGAATATCAAGGACTGAATATATGAAGAACAAGGAAATATATACAAAAAGGATGTTCATTCTTAGACCCAGAACGAGACATTATGTTTTTACGAGCTGATATATAAACTCAGATTTATCAACAGGTTTTATATACTGTATTAAAAAAAACAGCCTAAGCTGGTAAAATAAATATTCAATTTATTTCTATATGGCAGTGAATACTCAATAATTTCGGATGAAGTGCAGACTTGAGGCAAGAAAAATGTTGCTCTACAGAATGATACTGAGAATCCCATGGATGAAGAATATGAGTAACGAGGAAGATTTAAGGAAAGAGGAAACAAAATGGACGCTTATATTTAAATCAGAATGAGAGAGTTGACATTTCTATGACACATAATGAGGAAAAAAGCTTGGAAATTTTGATACGGAAAAGGCATACTTAAGGCAGGGGGGATAGAGGAGATCAGCGAGTAACTTACCAAACCACCTGTTATAAATGGATGACACAACAGAGATTGGAAGAGATAACAAAAAGACAAACTTTACGAAAAATTAAAATGGATAGGAAGTTGTGAACAGCATTATCGCGGTACACGGAATAATAATAATAATAATAATAATAATAATAATAATAATCATCTAGGAGTTGAATATTTGTGCATACAACTGCATATATATATATATATATATATATATATATATATATAATATATATATACAGTTGTACACAAACTATATAAAATATCAAAAATTAAATAAATATAATATATCTATATATAATATAAAAAATAAAATTATATATATATATATATATATATATATATATATATATATATATATATATATATAGATATATTTGTTTGAATAAAAGACAGACCACGTTAAGATTCCATGTAATAAGCTATTTCACCATAACCCCTTTTACAGGGTCCTGGATCATCAGACTTTACTTCCAAAAGCTGAAATGAAGAATGAAAAGAAATTCACACGTTTTTTACGGACCTCATCAAGTATACGCAAAGTTAACGAAGTGAGGAAGTGAGGTGGGAGAGAGGATATGAGTGTGTCATATGTATCATTTTAGTTTCCTATTTTAACCCCAGTGTGTCGGCTGGATGTTGCTCAAATCTAACGCGTCTCGTCTCTAGATAAAGGTGGTTAAGGGGTGGGCGATAAGGGCTACCACAGCCCCAATAAATTACACGACAGGTTTCATTCAAATTCTTAGACGCTGTCAGTTCGCGTTACTTTAACGTACATATTTGGGAGGTTAAGGTTTGATAAATATCTAAATTTTAAAACCTTCTAAAATTTAGATATTTATCAAACCTTAACCCCAATCAAGCTGGATGTTGCTCAAATCTAACGCGTCTAGTCTCTAGATAAAAGGATGGTTAAGGGGTGAGCGATAAATAAGACGTTAATTTTTAATAAATTAACGTTTGGTTTCATTTTTAGAAATTTTAAAAAGATTTTAACAAACATATTTGGGAATATACTTTAAAGTAACGCGAACTGACAAGGTTTAAAATTTAGAATTTGAATGAAATATCTAAATTTATTGGGGCTGTTTCCTAAAAATCGCCCACCCCTTTAACCACCTTTTTATCTAGAGACGAGACGCGTTAGATTTGAGCAACATCCAGCCGACACACTGGGGTTAAAATAGGAAACTAAAATGATACATATGACACACTCATATCCTCTCTCCCACCTCACTTCCTCACTTCAACTTTGCGTATACTTGATGAGGTCCGTAAAAAACGTGTGAATTTTCTTTTCATTCTTCATTTCAGCTTTTGGAAGTAAAGTCTGATGATCCAGAACCCTGTAAAAGGGGTTATGGTGAAATAGCTTATTACATGGAATCTTAACGTGGTCTGTCTTTTATTCAAACATATCTGCTCTGAATTTTACATTGAGCTCTCTGGATATCATCCTCCTCAGGTCTACCCATACGGATTACCTAAATTTGCATAAACTATACACACACACACACATATATATATATATATATATATATATATATATATATATATATATATATTCAAATAAGACGTATTTCGGCAACAAGAATTCTTTTAAACGTTTAGTTATTTCATAGTTACATAATCAAAGACGAAACACAATTGTTGAAAATGAATATAGCAGATTTCGAAAGTCTTCGGAAAAAAATAGAATAATAATACAGATAAGTAAGAATTTTGGTAAATTTACCGATTTAAAAACCTAATTCGTAAATTTAAAGAAGTTAATAAAAAATTGGGTATACAGAACTTGAACTCGTCGATATTATTCAAACATGTTTTATATATATATATATACATATATATATATATATGTGTGTGTGTGTGAGTATTTATATATATATATATATTCACTTGTAGGTAATCTATATTATATACTGGCTTACGGCCAAATCACCAGTTCCCGTATGATCACCGAAATTAAACAATGTCGAGCTTGCTCAGTGCCGGAATGGGTGACCACGTGGGAATATCAGGTGCTGTAAGCTTGGATTTGCCGGTGGTGTAATGGATGATGTCTCGGAATTGTTAATCGGAGAGCTGCGTTCCAATTCCCGTTAAATTCATTATAGTCACTTATGTGTAAATTCCCTTTGGAAAGATATGCATCTATCTCGTCTCTTTTCTAGCTTTAATTAACCTGCGAATGATGGAAAAACTATTGAAAACGATCAATTAATTAATCAAAAAATGTTTTTCATGTTTAAAATAGTAATTATTTAGATGATATATTAGTCGATCAGTGATTAGTAAATGTGCTTGGTACACAACTATTTATGTTAATAAGTGTAGTAAATCATTTGCGTCCTGTTTACTATTTGGATAGTTGTGCATTTATCACCACCGATAGTGGAGCGTTCAAATTTCAAGTTGATATGTATTCCAAGAAGGAAAATGATCAATAAAAATTGGTAAAAATACTGAGCAGAATTAAATGATGATGAATTCAAAGATCGGATATGCGTTATTGAATTAGAAATTACTTCATATGATTATTAATTCGCCAATCTGGCAAAAATTTGGAGCCCTGTTTAAGGGAAATCTGCTACTGTAACGTTTCACAACAATTTTCAATAATTTACATTTTTTTATATCGTCAAATATGGCCCAATCAACTTACATCCAAAGCAGTAATTTAATTATAAAAATCTGGCTTGGAAGTGATCAATGTTTGATAATTAAATATTGTTTTCCAACATAACTTTTTTCTTTCTCTTTCATTATTTAATGGACAGATTTTACGTGTCGACCTCCCCTCCTCTCTCTTTCTTTCTTTCTCTTTCTTTCTCTCTCTATATATATCTATATCTAAGCATAAAGAAAAAAATGACAATTGGAAAACTGTATCTAGTTTTAGCCGATGCGTTTCGTCCACTGCGATCTTTTGAAAACTTCGCGCCGGCTGAAGCTACATACACTTTTCCTATTGTCTTTTTTCATTTATACATATTGTCTTTTTCTATAGATTAATTCTGAGAATTTTTATACACACACACACACACACATATATATATATATATATATATATATAGTAATTGAAATGTAGATTTGAATAATTTCTCAACTAATCATTATGTGAATAATTTCCCATAATAATTCATTGAATCTAGAACAAGAATCCTCAACAGAATGCAGAAAGTACTGGATGGCCGTTCCGTCTTTTATTTGAGACTCATCACCAGTGCGCATCCACTACCGAAAATCGAACCAGGACCGTTGCGATACAACGCAAGCATCATGCCACTAGGCCAGCGTGCCTCGGTGTTAAAAGGGGAAACTAACTCTTCCTCTTGGCGCTGTTAACAGTGTGTTATGTATACTTGGATGATTATCACCACAGGAATTAGGATAAGCAGCACCAGTGCTTTCTCCAGTCTGTTTATGATTTTTATTTTAGACATAGTGAATTATTATGCGAAAAAAACAAATATATATATATATATATATACATGTGTGTTTATGTGTGTGTATGTTTAAAGCTCCAGATAAAATGTTCAGATCTATAAAAGGACAATATGTAAGATTGGCGGCATTGAAGAACTTCGTACCACTCCTTAATTGCTGTTGTTCTCAGGTCCACCCTGATTTGGGATGGTACCCCCTATTAGGGTCCCAATTATGAGAAAATAGTGAAGGCGGTGGATGAAGGTTACAAATCGATATCCCAACGCCACTAATAAGAACCATTTTGGAGAACGAAATTATTTAGGCCTTATCAGGTCTTCACCTGTGGCTCACAAGCAGCCGATGATGTAGATGCCCTCTTCTTTTCGGATCATTGCTTTCGTTACTCAGGGAATTGAATTGATCATGTGTACCGCTTTTTTTTTTCACTTTAAAAATTTCATGTACAGGTATTGCACAATGTTTTGTGGGATTTTACTGGGTGATGCGTATGGCTGGCTATAATCGTAAAAGGCATGGCAATTATGACGAATCATAACAGCAGGTAATAAGAATTTATATAAATTACATGCCAAAAAACGTATTTAATATTGGGACTCCTCATGGCTGCCGAGGTTTTGAAAAACAATATCATTTGTCGGGCTTAAATGTAAGGTCCGTGTGTGGCACCGTTGAATCTTTACGGGACGTTGCCGTATCCTTTCAGAACATTGGTGATCATAGCAACCCCCAAAATTCCTGTACTTTGTAGCTATTAATAAATGTTGTCTTTTTTATCTCTCCTAAATCTTGTTCTACCATCCAGTTACTCAAGCTCACTAAGGTTATTCGCTGTTTTCGCCTGTCTGTAAATATCAAATTTTCCAACCCCTTTTTCCTCATTGTGTACCCCAGAAATGTTAACTGACTCTTCCTTTTTGCTTCAATTTTTTTCTAAAACTTTGTTGTTGCTCGCATATCTGGTCCATGGTATTATCAGCCATGACTTTCCTGCTTGTGTGTCTAGATGCAGAATCCTTTTGCCAGACATAGGTTTTCCATCAGTCATCGTATTGACCCAGGACACCCCTACGTCTTCAAG